CTGTTTATTTTTAAAATATCAGTATCCAGTAGCAACCAAATTCAAACAGAAATAGATGTTCTCTGTGTCACATGATATACCATTAATGAAACTAAAATATGTTATTTCTTTCGAGGCAAATATAATTAAAGATAAAGGGAAGTGTGGGTAAAGTGATACTTATTTATAAATACCTTAAGTCTATTTTATGATTCTCTACATTCTTCTTTGTTTACTTAATCATTTGTCCCTACCACGAATTTTTCTTTTTCCTAAAGTGTCATTGTTTATTTCTCTATCTACTGGGGAGCAGCTTTCATATTTTGCAATTTCTCCAAATACTCTTAAACAGTTGTCTGTACTAGGTGTTATACAGCCAAGAATCTCCATTGATAAGTATTTCAAAGTTCATTCCAACACTCCCTTCCCAAACTCCTTCTCAAACTCCACCACTGAGCCTTACCCTGGTAAGATCATTACTTATCATTCCCATCCCTTCTTTCTTGTGTAAATGAACATTCCCTGGCCTCCTGCCTTGAGATGCAAGACAACTCCTTCTGGGATTTTTTTTTTTCTAAACTCTTTTTACCCATCTAGTTTTTGAAACCATGTCTGTTTTTGAAATTCAGAAAATGGGGCAGTCAGGTAATAAGTAAATCTGTCAGGGTCCCCAAATTGATACATGATGGATGTGTCAGGGTCTGTTTGGAAGCAGCTAATGATGATTCTGTTATGTCTTACTGCATGGGTACATTCGAAACGCAGATGGCATGTGGAATCTGGCTGGATGTAGCATTAAAATAAATTGCACACCACCCTTTAGTTCTCTAAGTTTGCCAATTATATTAGGTCTCTGGTTACAAAATATACAAGTAATTTGCAGGGTTGAGAGTGGGTTTATTTACAGGTGCTAGCAGCTAAATCAAATAAAAATATTCAAATGACATCTAGTGATGTTGGCAATCCTAGGCACTGAGTATACCTACCACTGCATTCACCAGATGTTGAAAATTACCTCTGCCCTACTGAATACAATCTCTAGACAATATTAGTATTCAAATTTATTCAATTTAAGATAAAGTGTCTAGTATGCATAAACTACCTTAATTTGCTGCATGAAATGGGTAAACTAGTTCTGATTTTAGTTGCTGAGACTGAATCCATACTGATTTCCATAGTAGTTGGACTAAATTGCGTTCTAACACCCTTTTTTCATCTCTGTCATTTTATTTGTGTTTTTATTTTTGCTTGTATATATGTATGTGTGAATACATGCCACATTCTGCAGGTGCTTTGGGAGGCCAGAAGAGGGTGTCAGATCACCTGGAGCTTGAGCTACATATGGGATGTGAGCTGCCCAACTTTGTAATCCACCAGGCCAACAGCTGGGAAGAACCCCTCATTTTCTGTCTGGGGAAGCAGTAACTTACAAATATTGTCCTTCGTAGAAGCAAAGAGAAGTGTACTTGTTTCAACTGTTCATATTTATGCACTATGTATTGATTTGTCTGGCTTCTTTCACAAAATATGTATCTTAGGTTATTATCCATATTGGTGATAATAAGAGTTTGCTTACTTTCAGAACTTGCAGTATTAAACTGCATTACTAATTTCTGCAATTGACTTGCTCCTTCTATTATCTATGAAAACTTGTTGCTCCCCAGCTGCCCAGCTTTTGGGTAAAATGAATACTGTTTTTTCAGTAACTGACACATCTGTGTATACATGCATATGAATATTTGTATTCATTTCTAATGAATGCAGTTGTTCATGTGCTCCTTTAGTAAGCCTGTTGAGCTTTTCTCTAAGCTTCCCTCTCCCATTTGTGTTCTGTTAACACTGAGTCACCAGTACTGGAGTTGTCTCCTGTCTCTTTACTCTACTCTGAGAGGTTATCAGAGACCTCAATCTGTTTCTGACTTACATTAAGTTGATGAACAAAGTAATCAGGGGAATTTTTCACAGCCAGTGGCCCTTTGGACATGCTCATTTGTCAACAGTCTATTAAGGTCCTTTCCCAAGCTTTCTACTAAACTGTATCATTTTCATATAGATTTGAAAATGTTCTTATATGTCCTAGATGAATTTGGGTACTTTCGATTTATGTATATGCATGTGTCACTTACTAATATGTTTTGATTTTAATTCTATCTATGATGTTTTTAGTTACCGAATAATCTTTCATTTTCTATTTTATTTATTTATTATTGCCTATTTCTGTGGTGTGTGTGTGTGTGTTTGTGCTTTTGTGCAAGCCAGGCCACATGTGCATGGGTCAGAAGTCAATATTCAGGAGTGGATTCTTTGTACATCACAGACATTGAACTTATGTTGTCAAGCTTGTGAAGCAAGCACATTCACTGAGCCATTTTCACAGCCAAACATTTTTCGAATTAGTACAGTAAAGCTTGATAACGGAACTGTAATGCTGTTTCACTTACCACTTTCTCCTTAGTGTAATGTTAATGATATGTACTGATTAATAAATCATTGACTCTTTCCAAAATAGTTAATTTCCTTATTGATTTTTTATTGCTTTACAGCCTTGTTCTATTCTACTGGAATTTTAATTGTGTGTGTGTGTGTATCCAATGGAACCACTTCCCTGCGTTCCAATAGCCTGTGGCCCTCCATAGTCATATGACTACATGAATGAAGGATATAATTGAGTTCACATTAGTTCCTTCAGTATATTACATTATCAAAACTATACTGTTTTAATGATCATAAATTGACAATAACTGATAAAGACATTCTTCTATAAGACTCTTGACTATTCTTTAAAAGCATTTAAAATTACATTTATTTGTTTGTTGAGTGCCAAGGGCATTTGTCTGTAGGGGGCACAAGTGAGAAAATAGGACTTGTAGCAGACAATGCTCTCCTTTTATCAGGTGGGGCCTGGGAATCAAATCCATGTTACAGCCATAGTAACAAGTGCCTCTATCGAGTCATTTTGCTGATCTTATGCTCTTGACTATTCTTAAACCTCTGCAACTATGTACAATATTTTAATGATCTGATCAATTTTCAAATGAAGATCTCATCTGTTTTCTGAATACTAAAAGACTTTATGATTTGTTTTTGAGCTTTTAATTTGTTTACGTGACAAGTTTTCTTATTCTTTTTGATGTTAATATTGACTATTTGTATTCTTTTATTGTTGAAACCCCATTAAAACAGATCCATTGTCATGTACTGCTCTATTTAGTTTGCTAATATTTTCGTCAGCATACTTTCATCTGTATTCATGAAAGTGGTTCATTGTGATTTTAATTTTTGTAATATTTTGCCAGATTTTACATAAATTGTTTCCTCTCATTATTTTCATCATTTTTGGTGGGATTTTTGTAGAAACTCTGTTATTTGTTTATAAGTACTTTAAAAAGTTACTTGATGGATTCAGTTGAAATAGTGTTTCCTTATGAAAAATTTTCAAATTTTATTTATTTAAAACAGGTATGATATTATTCAAATACTTATTTATTTTTGAACGCCTTATAATTTTTATAGTTCATTTTACCTTATTTATTAAGGACATTTTTATAAGGTCATTTAATATTTTTATTTTTAGTTATCAGTAGGACTAATAATGATGTTTACAATGTTTCTTAAACTGGTAAGTATATTTTATTTAATTTATTTGATTAACTCTGTAGGTAGTTAGTAATTTTATTATCCAAAATCAGAAAAGAACTTTGTGTATGGTTGAATGTATATACAATATGTGTGCTTTGTATTTCACTTATTTATGCTCTTTATTCTTTATGTCAATCTCTTTTGTATGATATTTAATGTGCTGTTACCTTTGCTGAGAGAATTCTTGAGAAAAAGGCTTAGATGTTGAGTATCAACCCCTTTATTCTCTAACATGAGACCTTAAGACTCTCTAGAGAACATGGCTTTATCTTCATTCCATTTTTTATATATTCTATTGGTGTTTCATATAGGCCATCTAACCTTCAGTGACTTTTTTTTCTCATGGTATTGAAGATTAAATGGCTTAATTTTCAGAAGTTGGAGATTTCTAATTATTTATCCTATTATTTTTAAATGTAAATCAATAGAAGTTAGAAGCCTAGTCCTAGCATTTGGAAATTCTTAAGACTCATTTTTGATATGGGCTCATTGTTTATCTAAATATAATGTGTATTTAGTCAGGTTTGTATGCCAATGTATGCCAGTGAGTCATTGGTTGTGTTTTTTAGATCCTGAATTTTTTTTTTCCAACTTTTGCCTTGTTTGTTTATTCTATCACTCCTCAATAGTAATTAGTTGAATTTTCTGCAATACCCTTGGAATTATTTGTCTGGTTTTTTTTTTACTTTTTATCTACTAATTATCTATACTTTTCTACCTATACATTATCTCTAAACTACTTATTTATCTGTTATCTATTTGTCATTTATCTATATTCTATTTGCCATTGATTTGTACCTTTATCATTCTAGCATAGATATTACAGACTATTTGATAAAGACAATCTTTTAACTATATATATCCTGTTGCTGATTTTTATTAATGTGCAATAGTGTTGCTTACAGAAGTTTTCTGATTTAAGAACCTAACTCTATTTTAAAATAATTTAATAACTTCTTTTTTAAATGTGTGTGTATGGAATTTCCCTTCATGTTTTCATATAGTCACACATGTATGCGAATGCACACATAAATACACTAACACACGCATGCACACACACACACACTAAACACAAATGAATGTTAAAAGGAAAAAGTACTAATAAAGAGAATGGTATATAGAATGCACTAGAAAAATATTAACATCCTTCTTTCTTTTGTAGTTTCTTGTTTTGTTATTTAAGAAGAGAGAGTGCTCTAAATGATGTAAAAGTCAATGTGCAGCTCAGGGTAGCCTTGAACTCACTATTTTCCTGTCTCAGCCTTCGGAATGGTGAATATAGCAGCATGTACAGCTCTTCTTTACTCTGTTTTCAAGACTGTTTAGGCTGAATTTTATTTTGTTACTATAACAGATTAACATATGAATCACTGTATTGACAGGTGCCGTTTTGTGGGCTTGGTTCCTTAAGTACCTAGCAATGAGGGTCCTGGTCTAAGGGAGGTGCCCTGGCAGACACTGCTGGCTTCTTGTGTAAGCACAGCATTATTTTTCTTCTTGTGATTATATCCCCTTGTCATATGTAATGCCGAGGATTAGCATCTTTCTTTTTTATTGGCTTGCCTTTTCTGCAGTTTATCTCTTTTAATGATCTGTTGGAGAGCTAGCATTTAAATTTATCACTCAACTGTTCTTCTCTCATTTATAAATTATTGATCTCCAATCGTATCTTTATTAATTCATTCCTGACATTTTATACTCATTTAAAAATTATTTCTATTTTTTTACTGGAATGATTAATTAATCTATTTTCATTCTTTCTTGCTTAACATGAAGAACATTAAAGCATTATATTTTCTTCTGAGTACTGGTCTGGCAGAATCTTACTGTATTAAGTTTTTCTATGAATTTGATTATGATTTTTAACCTTGACATGAGTTAGGGGAATTCCCTCTCTCCCCACCTTACCAAAATTCCTAAGACTGACCCACAGCTCCAGTCTTACAATAGCCTTCTGATATGGTGGCATTTATTTTGGCTGAGTGCCACATCTCAGCTGCTTTTGTAACTGTGCATAGCAATCTTACCAAGGATTGAGTGAGGCATCTGGGAAGGTAAGGGATGTGAACACCGACTGTTAACCAAAGTCTTTGTCTTCTTCCTGATTCCTAAAATGCAGACCCAAAGGAGGAAGGATCTGGACTGCCCCACCTGGACCTCAGGTGAAAACAGCAATGTCTGGAGTTAGCAAATACAAGTCCTGGTCTCCAAGGATCTACTCTACCTGCTCTGAAAATGTATAAAATTATTATTGTAAGAGAGAAATAAACATCTATCCCTTTAAGGACCATTATTTCGAGACCCCACTTCAGCAGCTACAATGATGTAACTGATACAGTTAGTAATTAATAGTTTAGTTGTATTACTACCAAGAAATATGAAATCTATAAAATGCATGTCCTAGTTCTATATAGAATATGCTATTTTAGCTATCTAAGAAATTATAAAGTTTTATGAGTATTTACTACTGTTTTTATAAATTTTCTATTAGATAACTGTATGCTGTCTTAAGTTATATATATATATACATGCATGCATACATACATATACACATTATTCAATCCACCTTATTAGTCATGTCATACTTTGCATATCATGCTCAACAGCATGGTATAGAATACTGATGAGTTTCCATCAAAATAAAAATGTTTCATGTTCCCTTTATTCTTTGCTTCCTGTTTTTATTGATAAGATTAATAACATAGACTATGAACCAGGAATAATCCTATCTCTCATTTACAGCTGTTTCAATATCAAAACACATAATTTCATCTTAATCGTTTTCAGTTTCCATGTCAGTGTAAAAAGGGAACAATAGTACATATCCCTAGGGATTAATAGCATCGTAAAATGAATACATGTTGACTCAACTCAATCATGCTTAGCTGATGAGGGACAAGATCTTGCATTGGTGGTAAGAGGTAGTGGCATCTACTTAGGGTTGAGTGTCCTGGACTTTCCAAGTTTCTTTTACTGGAGATACTTTGGTTACAGCTAAATGGAAAAAAAAAAATGTCCCAGGGAATATTGATTTGAGAAATGCTGCTCTCTCTCACTGTGTTATGCTATATACTGGGATCCACACCTCAACACAGAATGTGTAAATACTATTTAGGAGACCTTTGAATATCTTGACATGGGTACATATTCTATGTGCATATATCTATGTATTTCCGAGGAGATTTATATAGAATAGAGCTGATTTCAAATTTTCTTCACATGTAGTTTGCTTTTTGCAATTATTTATTTATTAAATCTATTCATTTGTGTGGGTGTGGAAACACATGTTTCATAACAACAGTCAAATGGATGCCAAGAATGCAATGTGCTGGGATTGTTTTTTATACTTCTTCTACCATGTAGGTTCCGGAGTCAAACTTGGGTCATCAGTGTTGTTTGCAAGCACCTTTACCTACTGCACCATTTAGAGCCAATCCCCCCTCACCCAACTGTGACTAAAATTCTCAAATATATTGTTCTTTTCCTCTGTTCCTGGCTGATTCAGACATTCCCTGCATGTCACCATCAAACATTTCCTAACATCAATGAGTTTTTTTCTCCTTAGATAATTTGTTTCTTTATATATTCTCTCCTTTTAAGTTAAATGACTTCTTGGATAGGAATAGTGGATCTTTCTTCTCTATAACAGGAAGCAGTGTTTCCTTGCATACTTTTGTGAATATTAATTGCTTCCTACTATTTATGTCTAGTTTCTACAGCCTCTTATTTTGCAACCCAAAATCTGCGGCTATTTGAATCAGCTGCTGAATCCATTCCATCGTTTTGGTTGTTATTTCATACATCAAAACTGGTCTTACTTTTGCATTATTTTAATTATTTGTTTAGAGTCTTTGGAGGGGATTTTTGTTGTTGTTGTTTATTTGCTTGATTTGGGTTTTTATTTACTTTGAGACAGAGTTTCTTTGTATAGCCAAGGATAGCACAGGACTCATCATCCTATCTCTGTCTCATGATCGCTGGGATTACATCTATATCCTACGAGGTCTAGGCTCATTTATTATTTTTCTCATTATTTCCCAAGTGTCAGTTTAGATGGTGAGCATACCAACTTGTCTCAGGAAGCACATTTCCCAAAAGCAATTTTTAATAACTTTCCAAAGTAAATTTGATGATGAGGCCCATTTATGAATTTCCCAACATATTTCCCAATTTCAGACAAGTTTTGCCTCTTATTCCTCTCCTTAAATTTTTGGAATATTTTTCTATAGCCATTATTAACACTCTGATGCTTTCAAGTCATACAATTGCTATTTTGTATGTTATGACTCATTATAAATCACAGTTTCCAAAAACTTTCTGGATCCATGTCCCGCAGACAGGATCTACTAACACAACTGCTTCTTCTGAGATCTACATTCACTAACTGTACCCTCCTCTTCTGTTGTTCCTTGTTGCTTTCTTAGATCTGGCACATTTAACTGAATATGGAAGAGTCTAAGTGGAAGGTATATGAAGCCATATTTAGCCCAATTCCACTACAGTGGCTGGGAAACAGAAAAGAAGAGGTGGTGTTCCTCCAGATGAAACAGCCTTGAGGGGCATAGTTCAGGGTGTCTAAGGGAACAAAACTAAGGAGACATCATCTGATCTCCCATGAACAGCTCCAATTCACCAAGGTGGAAAAAAAAACCACCAAAACACCCCTCCTGTAAAGAGATTTTCCTTTTCTTCCTATATCCAAAATGTTGTCTCATTATGAGTTTCTTCAGCTTTTCAGCATCTGATCACTTGTGAAGTAGCCCAAAGATCCATATGGCACAGTGGGAAGAGCAAGATACTTAAAAGCAAACTCTAGTTTCAAGTCCCATTCTGAGCACTCCGTTCGTCTGTCTTCGTTTCTTCACTTCCAAATATGCTGTGGCCATATCTTTCCCACTAAACATTTTCATGAGAGTTAATTAGGACCATAAAACCTTCCGAAGTTGTACACAGCAAAAAGTATCCATACCAAATTCAGGGAGAAAAGGACACACTCTGAAGTTTTCATTAAAACGAAAGGACTCCAATCTAAATTCTAAGTCCCCAATTTAATTAGTCAAAAATGTAATTTTACCATATAGCAAGAGGAGGATGAGAAAAAAAATAAAAATAACTGTAGAAATAGGCATCACAGGAAAACAGTGGAAGAAAAGCAACATTGAGATTTGGTAGGATCAATAGAACTTGGAAAGCCTATATTCAAGTTGATTATGAAAGACAACAGAAACATAGATGATGACTCGTGTTAGAAATCGAAAGAGGTTATCAGCATGTGCATTGGATATCAAGGAACAATGTAAGGACATTCTAAGAACTTTAACCACTGTTTGATTAACTCAGTAAAGCATTCAAATTCTTTCAAACATGTAACGTGAGAACTTATTTGAAAAAAAATAGACAACTAATATAACTGTGTATCTTGCAAAAGCTAAACTCATGGCTTCACCTGTAAAGTCAACCAAATATTCAAAGAAATGCTAATTCTGTATAACCTCTTCCAGAACACAGAGGAAGCAGGAAACAGTCTCAACTCAACGTTTCAGCTCGACTTAGTAGACTGCTGTTGTTTTGACTCTTGCATCAAACAATGAAATGGAATGAAAGAAATTTCATCCCATAGGTCGGCCTAGGTATGTGCCTTAAGTCCCAGGGACTCAGGGGACATAAAAATCTCATCAGCCTCAAAGTTTAATGACAGTCTGGGAATCAGGACAAAACTACAATAGGAGAAAGAAGACAAAAGGAGGAAGGGAAGGAGGAAAAGAGGGAGGGATAAAACCTAGTCATGAATAAGGAAGTGACAAATGTCTGAAAAATTGGTAGATACCAGTGACTTCAACTTGTTTGAAAATATATTTGTTTAGACAATATTTTCTTTCATTTCTGACAGCAACTTGATTTCCATTCTTTCTGCTCTTTCAGATTCAAATTTTCTTACTAATCACATGGATATGTATGTGTGTTTTCATGTGCATGTATTATTACTGTAGAGCAATGTTATAAATGCACAAACAATAAAGTTTGTATATTATTGCTGTGTGTATATTATTTAGTACTATTATTTCATTGTGTATATGTATTATTGCTGTGTGTATTATTGCTATGTGTGTATATTTATTATTTCTGTGTGTATGTATAATCATTGTGTGTTTATTATTTCTGTGTTTATTATTGCTGTGTCTATGTATTATTGTTGTGTGTATATGTATTGCTGTGTGTATTGTTGCTGTGTGTATGTGCCTGTGCATGTTGTATGTGTGATGTGTGCATACCAAGGTAAATGTGTGTAGGTCAAAGGATAAATTTATGGAGTAGTTCTCTCCTAGCTTTGTTTCTGTTCCAGAGATCAAATTCAGCTTGTCTGGCTGGCAGAAAAACCTCTGCCTTCTGAACATCTCATTGGTCTCATTGTCTGTGTTATCACAGCAAGTTTCCTTTTGTTCCAACTTTCCATGGACCTCCATCAAAGTTTCCTTCCTTAAATGTACCATTTTATCATGTCCTCCATGGGTTAGAGCATTGGTAGACTTTTGGTAACTTGGTGAGTTTCTTTAATACTATTAGGACCCCTTAACCCAACATTTGAAAATTCTAATATACATACACACACACACACATACACACACACACACACACACACACACACACACACACACACGAATGATATATACTGTATGCCCAGGATCACTTCACAATGTTATTCTAACACAGAAACATAATTGTATAGTTTTCCATGAAACCTGAATAGCATGCTTCCTCCCTAATTTTCATCTCTTCACCTTTAGTTTCCATGTTATGTGGTTCTTTTGAAATTCATTTTGGACTTATTTTGTTTTATGTGTATAGATGTTTTACCACAATGGAATTAAGGAGATTTACTGCCATATTACAATAAAGCCCGAGGAAGTCCACTGTTCTTCTAGATGTGAACTTTGCTTAGAAACAATTTTGTTTCTTCCTTTCCATTAGCATCTTCAGAACTGAATTTAGCCACAGATTTTAAAATGTGTGACTTTCCCACATTCCTCATTCTGCAGTTTCTTCGTCCACCACCTAATGATGCTCTTCACATGCTCCTGGTGATCACGTGACTATTCTAAGCCCATCCTTTCTATACCTCTTCCTTTCTGACCATCTCCCCTTCCCCACCTAGCCTGGATATTGTTTTTTCTCTTGTAAGTTGGAAGAGCTCCGAGTGGTGTAGAAGCACAAAACTGATTTTGAACATTTCATCTGATATATTCACAACTAGGAACACTGAAATTTCTAGTTACTCAAAAGAAATATGATTCATTTTCACATCTTTGTAAAGCACATGCAACAGTAATGCAAATATATGCCCACCATATATGCAGAAATAACTTGTTTTAGCATAATTTCTTAGGCTGCCCAGAAATTTTGTACCTCCAGTTAGAGTGGAATTAGAACTAAGATATAATTCACTAGACATTTCATTTAATATTTAAACAATTTTGCTGTTTTATATGTGTGCATATATACACACATATATCTATGAGTAAGCACATCTGTACATGTGTGTTCATATGAAAGCTAGAAATCAGTGCCAGGTGTTTTCCTCGATGTCCTGCCACCCCACTTTTTGAGATGAGTCTTTCACTAACCTGGGATTCACCAATTCAGCTAAACTGGA